GTCATTGTGTCAGTCCATCTTGTTGCCTTCCTTTTTGGCACTGATTGTCAGCTTTTCCAAGCATAACAAGCTTTCCAAGCTTTTCCAGGATTTTACCTTTCAGATAACATGACCAAAGTATGTGAGAGGAAGGTTTGCTAGTCTTGCTTTTAAGAAGCACTTTGTGATACTATTTGGCTTAAACATTTTAGTTAATTCTTTGTGGTTTATACAGATTTAAAAGGTGCCTATGCATCAAAAGTGCCAATCGTGGCAATGGGCACCCATGGTGGACAGTGTTGGCTGGAGCTTCCTGACTAAATCAAGCCTGGAAGCAGGAGCAGCATCCACTTCCGAAATGGCTTGCCTCCAGAAACTCTATGTATGAACAGTGCTCAGGCTGTTCGTTCATAGGGTCGCTATGAGTCGTCTACGACTCGACGGCATCAAACAACAACATGCATCAAAATAAAATATTTATAGAGTTTTCTACTTATTTAATTAGATAACTTAAGTACACATGCTATTCACCCTTCTTTAATATTGTAATTATATTTTGGTACATTTTCATTATGTTAACTCTTTTCTTGTAAGCATTATGGTCTTTTTTCAAGCACAAGTTATTTTCTTTTACTATCTTTAAATAAATTATCACAATTTGACATATGGGTGTATTTGGGGCTTGACTTTTTTGCCTCTTTTTAGCATTGTCCCTGTCAATTTCTTAAAAGAATATATTTTCTCCCTGCCAACTTTAAAATCACTTTTGATTCTGGCAACAACAGGATGTTCCAGACCTATTCTGTCTGATTTCATTCTGACCAAAGACATTGAATTGACTATTTTCCAATAGTTTTTGGCTCCATTTCTTTGTAGAATACTTTTGTGGTTCAGTATGCATCATCAGTGATGACACACAAGGACCTCATCTATAACAAACAAAATACTGTCCAGCCCTGCACCATCCACACAGTTGTATTGTATGGCATCTCAACAACTACTAAGCTTTTCCTTCTCTATATCTACCTAGCTGCAGACTATCATATCTTGCAACCACCTCTTCTCATGCTGTATTTTTTTTAGAACAATGGTTACCAACCTTGTTTTCACATTGGAATAACTTTGGGACTTTTAAAACTATTGGTGTCTAAAGTTCAATGCCAGATCTTTTGATTTAACCATCTAGTTCACAAGCTTTCCATATGTGTTTTTTTTAAGCTCCATAAATACTAATATGCATCCAAGGTAAAAAAAAAAACAACACACAACAACTCTGTTGCAGGAGTTGTTCAGCAGCCAGCCTCAATGAAGTTAATCTCCCATGAGATTATACTACAGAGGTTCCATGTATACCAACTACATTATAAACAGAGAAAGTAAATAAATGCAAGCTTGCTCTGTTGGGTATTTTGCTATAGATACTTATGATCTAGAGAGAATAACAGAGTTGCCTCCCTTCCTTCTCCCACCCCAGTCTTCTTGAAAGATATTTATAGTTTTTACTTCTCCAATTGATTCTGTTGGGTCTTTTTCCTTCAGCCTCTTCCCTCAGTCTTCCTTGACTTTGCTCTAATTCTTCCAAGGTTTTAAAGGGCCTTTATTTCTTCATGTGTGAAGTTGAGATGATGTTTATAGGTAAACTTGAACTCAAGCTCATTGCCATCAAGTTAGAACTGACTCATAGCTGATCCTCCAGTGGGTTTTCAGAGGCTGTAAAACACATGGGAAGAGATTACCCATCTTTATCCCATGGAGCACATGATAGATTTCAACGACCTACCATTGGATTGGCAGTGCACCCCCTACTGAATGTTGTTGTTAGGTGCTATTGAGTAGACTAGTACTCACAGCTACCATACCAATTTGAATATTACCCTATCTTGCATCGTCTTCACAATTTCTGACATGCTCAAGCTCATTGTTACAGTCACTGTGTCAATCTGTCTACTTCAGGGTCTTCCCATCTTTCACTGGTCTTCTACGTTTTCCAACATGATGTCATTTTCCAAGGATTGGCCCTGCTTGACCACAAAGTATGTGAGATGAAGTTTCACCATCCTTGCCTCTATGGAACATTCTGATAGTACTCTCTCCAAGACAGTCTTGCTTGTTCTTTTGGCAATCTATGGTATATTCAGTACTCTAACACTGCAATTGAAAGACATTGATTCTTCTGTTATGCATATTCATTGCCCAACATTCAGATGCATAAAAAGAAATTGAAAAGATCATGGTTTGCGTCAGGTGCACCAGAGTCTTTAAACTGGCGTCCTTGTTCTTTATAGCATTGGAGAGATCCTTGCAGCAGATTTCCCCAATACATCAAATTTTTAATATTTCTTTACTGCTACTACCATGGATGTTGATTGGGAACTTGAGTAAAATTAAATAGTTGAAAAATTCTATCTTTTCTCCACCTACCCTGTTGTTGAATATTGGTCCAGGTTAGGATTTTTGTTTCTTAATGTTGAAATGTAATTCATATTGAAAGCTGAAGTCTTGATCTTCAGGAAGTGCTTCAAGTCTTCATCACTTTGTGCAAGCAAGGCTGTGTCATCTGCATAATGCAGTTTGTTGATGAGTGTTCCTTTGATTCTAATGCCATATTCTTTTTTGTTTAGTACAGTTTTGAGCCTAGGCCACTTCAAAATTTAACAGCACATTGTGAAATCCAAGAAAACCATAGGACAATGTCACACGTTGGAACCAGATCCCCAAAATGACTTGAAAGGGAGCTCTGGAGGTTTAGTAGCAAGAAACTGCACTGCAATCCCGAAGGTGTGAGGTTTGAATCCACCAGATGCTCTGCTGCAGAAGGAGGAGCATCTCTTCCTGTGCCAGTCAGATCATATTTCATGGTATACAACAAGAAAAACAAAAACCAAACAAACAACAACAACAAAACCCCAAACTAAAGTAGCTTGAAAGGCTACCATAGAAGTCAAATTTGCTTTTTTGGATAATGAAGTTCCAGAAGGTCAGTTGTAATGGTTTAACCAGATTTTTTTAAATCCTAATGCATATATTAGGCCTAGTGGTAAGAAGCTGCATTTCAATCCCAAAAGCTTCCAGTATGTATCTACCAGTTGCAGGAGAAGGGCAAGTTAAGAGTTGGTTCCTACTTGATGGCACACAACAAGAAGAACATATAAGATAGGAATATCAATTTTGGATGTAATACATTTTCCGATTTCTTAATTGCTACCATGGGTATTGATTTTTTATCCTAGTATAACAAAATCCTTGGCATGATATTGCCTACTGGTCCAGTTGTGATTATTTTTGTTTTCTTGACATTGAAGTGTAATCTATAATGAAGGTTGTAGCCTTTGATCATTAACTATTGTTGTTGTGTACTCTGTCATCAGAACCAACCCATAGCTAACCCTCTGGTAAGTTTTCAGAGGCAGTAAATCACACAGTAGGACACTGCCCATCCTTCTCTCATGAAGCCGCTGGTGGATTCAAACCACATGCCTTTGGAATTGCAGCACAGCTTCTTACTACTAGACCACCAGTGTGTGGTTTGACTTGTTGTTGTGTACCATCGAGTTGGAACTGACCCAGAGCTGACCCTCCAGCGGGTTTTCAGAGGCAGTTAATCACACAGGAGGAGATTACCCATCCTTTTCTTGCAGAGCACTTGGTGGATTTGAACCACATGCCTTTGGGATTACACTTCAGCTTCTTGCCAATGGGCCACCAGTGCTCCATGGTTTGACTATGTGACTATTCTCGCCTTAGTGATTATTTTTGTGTGTGTGCTGCATGGTAGGAAGCAGTTACAGTTGGGAGATTTTTTTTTCCTCCTAAAGATAGTGATAGCTGTTTAGAGTGAAGTGATAAAGTTGAGAATGCTTTGTCAGGCTCAGCTTCTGCCACAGTTTATTGTTGCCTATTTCTACTCAGGCCCATTGAGAAATAGATTCCAAGATGGAACGAGATATGCAAGAGGTTTACTGAGGAAAACACTTGTGAAGGATTAAGGTGAAATAAAGCAGGGATAGATAGGGGAAATCTTCAGACCAGAATGCAAGCCTGATACTATGTGAAAGGAGAAGGGATAGATCCAGGGTGGGAGAGGAAAAGGCTCAGACTGTAGTATAGTTCTGAGGATTCTCAGTCTGCTGGGGCCCCAGAGGAAAGACTGCCTTTCAGAGAAGTCATTTCAGGGGAGGAATTGTGCAGGGCTTGAAGACTCCCATAATGCTTAGTACTTGGTCTAATGGTAGCCAGGAGAGCACAGCTTGGGCAGCAATACTTCAAGGAATTCCAAAGATGCTGAAGCTGAAGGCTGTCAGCTAGCAGCTCGCTTCAAGGCACGTACTCATTGAAGATGGTGCCCTCTCATGGCTGCCACACTTGCATTTTCGATCTTATAATGAAAATGTATGTTTTTCTGTGGGAAGATGTTAAGAACAAAGCAAACCACAACTAGCCATACGCCAAGCTATTAATACTTTTCTGGCCCTCTCATTCTGTTTTCAAAAATAAGTTTTTATTTGATAATGATTTGCTTACAAAGTTCATATACATTGTTTTTCACACTATCTTAATTCACACTGTATTTCATACACTCACTTTCATTCATTATATTTTATAAAATTTATCAACACCAAAATATGCCCACCATTGCCCTGTTTATTCCCGATCCTCAGTGGATCTTTCTCATCTCATTTTTTTATTGTGTCTCTTAATTGCACCAACTTCCATTTATCAAACATCATTCGTCATAACATCTATTTATCATCTCTGCCAAAACAACAACAACAGCAAAAACCTAGTTAAAAAAAAATCACTGGATAAGACAAAATAAATGGGTGGAACAACATCTGGCTTTCTTAATGACTACATGCTAAATATTATCTTTTTAAATCTGTCATAATGATAGAGAACTAAATTTGATAACTCAGTAAAAAATCTAATTTGTTAACATTTATCATTACTGTCTAAGATTCCATATTAAAGAAGGAATGATAAAGCATAATTAACTTATATGATCTTTTCTTGGTTTGCCCTAGAGTGCTGTCTAGCATGACAGATGCAGTGTTGGCACGAGTGTATAGACAGTCAGATCTGGACATCCTGGCTAAAGAAGCATCCATCCCAATCGTCAATGGGCTGTCAGACTTGTACCATCCTATTCAGATCCTGGCTGATTACCTCACCCTCCAGGTTGGCTCATTTCTTTGTTTAATACAAAATCAAGCTCAACACAAACGTTTTCTCAAATGATGGCATTGGGGTATTTTTTAAAAATATAACCTTGACAACGAATTACAACACATGTGTGTGTCCTAGATATTCAGCGAAAACAAGTCATTGTTGAAAAGAGACTAAAAGATCTTTTTGCTCTCAGATTTGGTCCCAACTGCTTTCATTCTCTTTCATTTACTGTGCTTTCTTCAATCTTTTTGCTTTTTGGTGCCACATTTAACACAATAGATGCTCGAGCATGCACAATGGAAAAGTCTATGTAATCTTACATATATCAGGGTCTGTAGCTTAGTTGTGGGGACTGGTGAGGTGTACTTTGAATTACAGAGAATGCTCTGATTACAAATGTGATCAGTCTTTTAAGAATTTATAGGTGAGTCAGTGTATGTTGTTCTTATTCAGCCTTACTTTAGTGCAAGGAAAGGCTCAAAGTCTTTCTGATTATTTAAAAGCTGCACATACAGCAAGTGAAGGTCATTGTGATGAAGAATTTGTTGTGATGAAGAATAGTTTTAAAGTGAAGGTGAATATATATACTACTACAAAACACGTGTGAGTTATCCATGTTGTCCAGAAGTCAGATACAACTGTGACTGCCTGTATTAAAACCACTTTTAAGGAGAAAGGGCATTTTCCATAATTTGAATAAAATGGTAATTTAAGAATAGGGCTAAGAACATTCAGAATTGAGGTTCAACATTAGCCAGGTCTCCCCAAATTAAGACCTTGAATGACTTTGAAAGATTTGCCTTGTTTGCAGTGCAACAGCAAATCTGCATAGTCTAGTCACATCAAATCCTAAAAAACTCTGGTTTCTTGTCTGTAGATGATGCCGGAGAGACAGGGCAAACGGAATAAGCCTATCTTTCTCCTCATTTGAATAAACTAGATATATATAAATGTGAGGTTAAACTGAGAAATGAAGCTCTTTAGGAATTAGGATAGGATCCATCCAAAGAAGATGGTAACACAATGCCACATACTGAGTGGCTGTTTGTGGGTGTGGCTTTACATATATAGTCCATAATTTAGTGCTTCTCCTAAGGCTTTATCATTACTAGATTATAAATTCATTGAGAGACAATGAGCTGTCCTATTCATCACAGTGTCTCCTACAGGGCTTTGCACAATGCCTTCATTATAGGAGGTACTCAAAGTAGGAATTGAATGAATAAATAGCAGCTTATTAAGAGCATGGTTCTAAACCAGATAAATCTGGATTTTAAATCCTAGCTGAGACACGGTGTGATTCTGTGATCTCCAAACTATTTAAACATTCTCTCTCTTTTTAAAATACCATCTTTACAAATGCATAACATTCATCAAATTCACAGATATTTCAAGACAAAGTAAACACCCTTGCACCTGTTACATAGTTTTGACAAATCTTGACATGATGGAATAATTACTTTAAAATCTTTTACAGTTTCTACATAAAACATAAAAGTCTGCTGTTAGGGACCTCTCCAAAGTGCTGAAGAGCAGTGGTGTCTCTCTGGAGACTAAGGTGCGTCTGATACAGGCCATGGTCTTTGCAATCACTTGTTATGCATCAGAGAGTTGGACAATGACCAAGGAGGATAGAAGGAGAATTGATGCCTTTGAGCTGTGGTGCTGGAGAAGAGTACTGAGAATACCATGGACTGCTAGGAAAACAAACAGATTTGTCCTGGAGAGGGTTAAACCGGGTGGCTCCTTGGAGTCAAGGATTCTGAGGCTCCGTCTAACATACTTTGGACATGTTGTGAGGAGGGACCGGTCCTTGGAGAGGGACATCATGCTTGGGAGGGTGGAGGGACGGCGCAGGAGAGGAAGGCCCTCTTTGAGGTGGATTGATTCAGTGACTGGGGTAATTGGGATGGGAGTGTCAGAGACAGTGCAATTGGCACAGGACAGAGCGGAGTTTAGGGCTGTTGTACATAGGGTCGCTATGAGTCGCAGGCGACTCGATGGCACATAACAACAACAACAACAACAAAGAACATTACAAGTGGAGTTGAAGCACACCCTGACCGCTTTTCCTACTACCAAGAAATTATTATCCTGATATTTGTATTTAAAATTATAGGCATTTGTTCATTTTTTACTCACTCATTACTGGCCAGTCAGAACTTATAGCTGATCCTCCAGTTGGTTTCCAAGGCTGTAAATTGCATGGAAGGAGGTCACCTATCTTTATACTATGAAGTAGCTGGTGGACTTCTTTTATTTTAATGAAAGTTTGCAGAGATTTTGGATTTTCCTTAACACATTGTTGCACACTTTCCTCCCTACTCACCCCTCCACCCAGTTAGCTTTTCTCTTTGAAGGAAAAAAAAATTATTTCGTTGTTATACAACCCTCCCCTCCTCAAGTCCACTTTACTATGCAGCTCTTATTCTGGACTCTTGTCATGCAAATACCTATCTCTATATTCCTTTTAAACAGGTCTCTCCCTCATCTGTTTCAATGCAGTATACATTATGTATCCTCTCTTTTCTTAAGTTCCCCCCAACCCTGATGTCAGTCCCATTTTACAACAGTGGCACTATGCCACTGTTTGTCCTTTTGTGACTGAGATACTTCACTCAGCATAATGTCCTCCAGAGTCACCACCACAAAGAGGCATGGCCTTTGAGTTAGTAGTACAACCCCCTCTGGACTATGCTTGTTGTTATGTGCTATCCAGTCACTCATGGCTCATAGAGACCCTATGTATAATAGCTCTGAATTCTGCCCTGTCCTAAGCCAGTTGCACTGACTCCAACACACCTAATCCCACTGCCCCAATTACCATGTTAATCCATCTCCTCTAGGGTCCTCCTCTCCTGCACTATCCTTCCACCCTTCCAAGCATGATGTCCTCTTCCAAGGACTGGTCTCTCCTGGCCATGTGCTGAAAGTATGTGAGACAGAGCTTCAAAATCCTTGCCTCCAAGGAGAAACTTAGTTTCACCCTTTCCGAGACAGACCTATTTGTTCTCTTGCTGGTCCTTGGTGTGTTCAATACTCTTCTCCAGCACCACAACTCAAAGGTATCTTCTTCTGCCCTCTTTAGTCATTGTCCAGCTCTCTGATGCACAGCAAGTAATTGCTAAGACCAAACACATCCACACCTTAATATCTAAACTAACAGAATTGCTGCTCAGCACTCTGTAGAGGTCTCTGACAGCAGACTTCCCCAGTGTAATTCATCTTTTGATTTTCTGACTGTTGGTGCCAAGAGTGTTGATCATGGAGCCAAACAAACTGAAATTTTGACAACTTCAATCTCTTCTCCATCTATCATGGTGCTGCCATTTGTCCCAGTGGAGAGAATCTTTGCGCTCTTGTTGTTAAGCTTCAATCCATATTGAAGACTGCAGTCCTTGACCTTCTGCAGCAAGCACTTCATGTCCTCCTCAGTTTCAGCAAGCAAGGTTGTATATTCTGCATAACACAGCTTGTTGATGAGTCTTCCTTCAATCCTGATGCCCCACTCCTCCTCATAAATTTCATACTAACAGACATCTATATCCAATCATGAGTATTATTCTGGATATTAAAAATCTTTATATAAATAGTAATGCATACAGTCTCATTAAGTTACATCATTCCAGGTGTATCTTAATTATCTATTTCTGCTCTGAGATACCACAAGTGGATGGTTTGAATAAACAAAAATTTATTCTTTTGCACTTTAGAAGGCTAGAAGTCTAAATTCAGAGTTCCAGTTCTTGGGGAAGGTTTTTTCTCTCTGTATAATTACCAATGTCAGATGGATCTTGGCTGAAAGCAGAGAGTACCAGAGGAATATCTATCTGTGTTTACTTGACTATGCAAAGGCATGTGACTGTGTGGATCACAGCAAATTGTGGCTAACCTTGAGAAGAATGGGAATCCCAGAAAACATGATTGTGCTCATGTGAAACCTATACTTGGACCAGGAGACAGTTGTCAGAACAGAATAAGGAAACACTGAAAAGTTCAAAATAAAAAAAGGAGTATGCCAGTGATGTGTCCTGTCTCCATACCTTTTCAAATCTGTATGCAGAACAGATCATTCAATAGACTGGATTTATGAAGAGGAATATGCTATCAGAATGGGAGGAAGACTCATCAACAACCTGAGTTATCCTGATGACACAACCATCCTTGCTGAAACTGAGGAGGGCCTGAACTATCTGCTGCAGAGGGTCAAGGAATGTAGTTTGCAATATGGATTTAAGCTAAGCTTCAAGAAAACAGAGATTCTTACCATTGGGCCAATTGGCAACATCATGATAGATGGGAAAAAGGTTGAGATTGTTAACAATTTCAGCTTACTTTGCTCTACAATCAACACTCTTGGCACCAGCATCAGGGAATCAAAAGACAAATTATATTAGGGAAATCTACTGTCAGAACCTCTCCAGAGTGCTGAAGGAAGTCAGTTTAGAGACTAAGGTATGCCTGGTCCAGGCCATGGTCTTCCCAATTACATCAAAGAGCTGGACAATGATCAAGGATGACAGAAGAATTGATGCCTTTTAGTTGTGGTGCTGGAGAAGAATATTGAACATCTCGTGGATTGCCAAGAGATCTAACAGGTCTGTCCTGGAGAGTGTGAAATCAGGCTGCTCCTCGGATGCAAGAATTTTGAAACTCCATTTCACATACTTTGGACATGTAGCCAGGAGGAACCAGTCTTTGGAGAAGGATATCATGCTTGGAAGATTTGAGAGACACAGGTCTGGAGAGGAAGACCCCAGAAGAGATAGATTGACACAGTAACTGGGGTGATGAGGGTAGGTATGTCAGAGACAATCAGATTGGCTCAAGATAGGATTTCAGAGCTGTTGTGCATAGGGTCACTATGAGGTGTAGTTAGCTGGAGGGCACATAACAACAATGGAAACAATCACCAAGCATTCCTTTGTAAGCTCCATATTATCTTGACCTTTTCTAGCGTCAAGTAGTTTCCCAGCATAGTGCTCTGAGCCCAAGGAATGCACTCTCCTCCCAGTTCTTCTGTCTTGATGGTACTGAGGTTTCTGCTCTCTGCTTACATTTCTCCCCTTTTTTTATCTTGTAAGATAAATGGTGTCACAGGCCACATTCCAAAGAAACAGTCTAGATTGAATCAGGACTAATGGCATTAAAGATTTTGTATTCCAGCCTCAATCCTTTTCAACTGCTTGACCTCTCAGATCATAGGGAATCATTATAAAACTTCCACATTATATTACATACATATATTTGGAGGGGGAACACAATTCAATACATGACAAGTGCATTATCTTTCCCATTTGTTATAGCAAAGAATATAAATGACTTAAGGGTAGTGATTTTTGTCTTCTGTTCATTGTGTTATCACCATGTCCATGTTTTGAAAGAATGCCTGGATGTTAATGGTGCTCATTTTTCCCCAATAAATTAAGAAAATAAAGAATCAGACTTGAAATACATGCAAAATATAATCCCCATATGAGTCCACATGAATCTTTGTTTAAGACATTAGATAATCTTGCTGTTTTTTGAGGGTTATTTGGAGGTTGTGTCTTGATGTATCTGAATTTGCTGTTTATAATGCAAAATTTTAGTAGTTTATTTATTCTAAGAAGACTTTAAAATGGAAGTGGAAATGGTTTTCTTTACCTTGTTGTTGTTGTTAAGTGTCGCCAAGTCGGAGGCGATTCATAGCGACCCTATGAAGGAGAGTCCTCGATGCCTGGGTGCCTTTCATCCTCTCTCCAGGTTCATAGGGTTTCCAGAGGCAAGCTATTATGGAAGTGGATGCCACTCCTGCTTCCATTCTTTGCCTTAGCTTTATCAATTTTTGCACATAAGTAGATTTCCTCTTGAATTTAGTCTCTATTACTCTTTGCCTAACAGGAACACTATGGTTCTCTGAAAGGACTCACCCTCAGCTGGATTGGAGATGGCAACAACATCCTACACTCCATCATGATGAGTGCAGCGAAGTTTGGAATGCACCTTCAGGCAGCTACACCAAAGGTAGAGAAATTGGCCATGAAATAACCTCCCCCTTGCTTTTATTGAGGTGAAAAAAAAATCACATAACCTAAATTTAATTATTTAAAGTTAACAGTTCTGTAGTATTTATCCTTTTGTGACTGAGATATTTCACTCAGCATAATGTCCTCCAGGGTCATCCATTTTGAATAATATTTCATGAGTTTCTTGTTTTTCAATGCAGTGTAGTATTCCATTGTGTGCATATACCACAACTTCTCTATCCATTTGTTTGTTTCCAACTCTTTGCTATTGTGAACAAAGCCATGATAAACATGGGTATATATCTACTTGGGTGGTGGTTATGGTTTCTTTGGGGTATATTCCCAGTAGTGGAATTGCTGGGTCAAATGGTATTTCTATTTGCAACTTTTTGAGAAAGCGCCATACAGCCTTCCATAGTGGCTGCACCATTCTACACACACTTCCACCAACAGTGAATAAGGTTTCCAGTTTCTCCACAGCCTCGCCAGCATTTGTTCTTTGCTGTTCTGTTAAATTTTGCTATTCTTCCTGGGGTGAGATGATATCTCATAGTTGTTTTTATTTGTATCTCTCTTAGAGCTAGGGATTTTGAACATTTCTTCATGTGTTTGTTGGTCATCCAAATGTCTTCTTTGGTGAAGTGTCTGTTCATATCCTGTATCCATTTTTCAATTGGATTGTATACAGGTGTTGGAGGGGAGACTGAGAAATATGGGATAAATTATGTATACTTCATTGAAACAGATGAGAGGGAGAACTGTTTAAAAGGTATACATGATTAGGTATTATTGTCATGACATGAGTCCAGAATGAAGGCTCCATAGTGGAGTGGACTTGGGGGGAGGAACTCTATAACAATGAAAGAATTTTTCTTTTACTTTTCAAAGAGAAGAACAAACATCTTTTGATTTCCTGGCTGTTGGTGCCAAGAGAGTTGATTGTGGACTCAAACAAGCTGAAGCTACTAGTGATCTCAGTCTCTTCTCAATCTATCATGATGCGAACAATTGGCCCAGTGGTGAGAATCTTGTTTTCTGGAGGTTGAGCTTCAATCTGTATTGAAGACTACAGTCTTTAATCTTCTGCAGCAAAAGACAAAGGGAACATAAAAGACCAAAATGGATGTCAGAAGAGACTCTGAATATTACACTAGAGCACTGAGAAGTCAAAGCAAATGGAAGAAAACAAGAAGAAGCTGAACAGAAGATTTCAAAGTATAGCACAGGAAGACAAAGCAAGTATTGAAATGAAACGTGCAAAGAGCTGAAGTTGTAAAATCAAAAGGGATGAAATTGCTCAGCATTTTTTTTTAATTTTTTATTTGCTCAGCATTTTTTTAACTGAAGGAACTGAAGAACAAAATCAAACCTCAAGTTGCAATACTTAAGGATGCTGCAGGAAGAATGCTGAAAGACCCAGAAGATGGAAGGAGTACACAAAATCAGTGTACCAAAATGAATTGGCTGACACTGAAGAATTTCATTAAATAACATATGATCAAGAGTGTATGGGGCAGGGGAGAGCCTCTGGTGATGAAAAGGATCTTCAAGCTGCTCTGAAGGAATTGGCAAAGGCCCCAGGGATTGGTAGCATATCAATTGACATATTTCAACAAACATGCTGCCCTGGAAGAGCTGGATATGCCAAGAAATTTGGTGGACAATCATTTGGTCAACTGACTAGAAAAGAGTCATGTATTTTTTCTCATTCCAAAAAAAAAAAGGTGACCCAACAGAGTGTGGAAGTTATCAAACAATATCACATGCAAGCAAGAGCCTGCTGAAAATTATCAAAAGACAGCTGGAACAGCACATCAACAGAGAACTTTCAGATGCTCAGGCTGAGTTTAGAAGGGGTTGTGATACTAGGGATATTTTAGCTAATGTTAGATGGATCTTAGCTGAAAGCAGGGAGTACCAGAGCAATATCTATCTGTGTTTCATTGATTATGCAAAGGCGTTGGACTGTGTAGATCACAACAAACTGTGGCTAAGTCTGAGAAGAAGGGGAATCCCACAGCATTTGATTGTACTTACGTGAAACTTATACTTGGACCAGGAGGAAGTTGTCAGAACATAGAAAGGAAACACTGCATGGTTAAAAATTAGGAAAGGTATATGCCAGGGATGCATTCTGTCTCCATACCTTTTTCATCTATATGTGGAGCATGGTCTGGGCTCTATGAGGAAGAATGTGGCATCAGGTTTGGAGCAAGACTCATCAACAACCTGTGTTATGTAGATGACACCTTTCATTTTGATGATAAAGAGTAATAAATATTGATTCAATTTTGATGAAAGTAAAAATTTCTAAAAGCCTTCTACAAAGTCTAATTGTGAAGAAGTAGTCTCATCAATTTATAAGCCTTCAGTAACTAGTAGACCTATTTCCATTAATGACAAAGCTATAAGATTTATTGTAAGTTTAACAAATACTGAAAAGTTTCTAAGGCCATAATTAATCTATGTCCTCATTCTTCAATAAAGAATCACTTGCATGTTCAAGGGGGAAAAATGTCCATGATTATAAAATTGTCCCATAAACTGTCCATTGTAATGATTTAAGCATTGTTCTAGATGACTATTTAGACTAAACTGGGTTAATCACTTTCTCCATGTGGTTTTAAGATTTATGTAAAAACCAATGAATGCTATAGTATTGAAAGCCAAACAGTGAGTAAAGAATTTCATTCTATGTCATGGTCCACTGCAGGCGAGGTTGGGTGATTTTCTAATTTCCAAGCCTTTTTGTTGGTTTTCTAAGCACTTATTGATTCCTTCTCTTAGAATGATTATACTTAAGGAGTATAAAGCATGCTTTCAGAAAGGGGAGCCTCTGCTTTCAGGTCAGGAGGCAGCTGAGCTACCATCCAAGTGTGTTCATTTATGGAATCATACGTATGGCTGGTAACAGCACTAGTTACTGGACTGTTTTTAGGTTCCATCAGTCTGTTCTAACTCACACTGTATAACGGAAAAGAACCACTACCCAGTCGGAGACTTTCTAACAGTTGCTGCTGAGCTTGAGCCAAGTATTGCACCACTAGGTCAATCTTCTTTTCCACTGGGCTCTGCTTTACCAGATATGATATCCTCTTTCAGAGATTGGTCACTCTAGATAATATGCCCAAAGCATATGAGATGAAATCTTTACTTGCTTCTAAGGAACATTTGGATGAACTTCTTCCAAGGTAGATTTGTTCATTTTTGCAGCGGTGGTGGTTGGTATGTATGTACCTTTGAGTTGGAACCAACTTACAGCAGGTTTTCAGAGGCTGTAAATCTCACAGGAGGAAATTTTTTGTCTTTCTCCCATGAAGCAGCTGGTGGATTCAAACTACATGTCTTTGGGTTGGTGCAGCTCCTTACCACTAAGTTCAGAACACCTTCATTTTTGTAGTTTGTTGTTATGTACCATTGAGTCAAAATTGACTCACAGTTTATCCTTCAGTAGGTTTTCAGAAGTTGCTAATTACATGGAAGGAGATTGCTCATCTTTCTCCTGTAGAGAAGATGGTGGATTCAAACTGTGTGCCTTTGGGTTAGCAGCTCAACTCCTTCCCACTAGGACACCAGAGCTACCTATTCTTCTTTTTTTTTTAACTGACTTAATTCACATTATTTCTCTTATACATAACTCACTATTTGTTAGCAACAGCTGGAAGCTGGGTCTTCTGCACAGAGATTCTGGTGTGGGTCTTTAAGAGATGGTCAGAGAATTTCTGAAAAGAAGAGCTCCCTAGTCTTATGGTAGTTTTTGTAGTTAGGCACCATCAAGTCAAGTACAACTCATCCTATAAACAACAGACCTGAACCCTGTCCTATCCTGTGCCATCTTCACCATCTCTGATACACTTGAGCCCATTGCCACAGTCACTGTGTCAATTCATCTCAATGGGGGCCTTTCTTTCTTTCACTGATCTTCTACCCATCCAACCACGATATGCTTTTTGAAGGAATAGTTTCTCTTAGAAATATGTCCAAAGTATGAGATACAAAGCTTTTTTATCCTTTCCGTCAAGAAATATCCAGCTGCAGCTTTTCAAAGATGTACCTGATCATTCTTTTTTGGTCATGGGATATTCAGTATGCTTTTCTAACACCACAACTCAAAGGCATCAATTCTTCTGTCATCCTTCTTCATCATCCAGCTCTCTGATGCCTAGCAAGTAATTGAAAAGATCAAGCACACCTTAGTCTTCAAACGGACATCATTGCTCTTCAGTGTTTTGGAGAGGTCCCTGACAGCAGACTTGCCCATAGCAATACATCTCCTTATCTCCTGACTGCTGCTACCAAGCGCGTTGATTGTGGATCCAAGCAAGATGAAATCATGAGCACTTTCAGTCTTCTTCACCAACAATGTAATTCATGTGCATCAATTCTTCTTTGATCCTTCTTATGCATTAGCCAGTTTCTACATGCACATGAGCAAGATAGGGAAATGTCCTGTGTAATTTACTGCCTCTGAAAACCCACTGTAGGGTCAAGTATGAGCCAGTTTTAACTCGATGGCACATAACAACAACAACAACAACAACACCAACATGAGTGTGTTGAAATATCATGATTGGGTCAGGGGCACCTTTTAGTCTTAAAATTTCTTTAAAAAAACACACAAACCTCAATTACTATAACTAATTTGTTTCCTCCGATCCCTTCATAAAATACGCATTGGGAGTTGTGACTATTTGAGGTGGTAAAGCATCCATGGCACAATGGTTAAAGCAGTCAGCTGCTGCCTGAAAGCTCAGTGTTTCTAATGCACTAGCGGCTCTGTGGGACGGCAGACCTGGAGATCTGCTCTCACAAATATTACAGCATAGGAAACTGAACATGGGGTCACTATGAGTCAGAATGGACTTAATGGCATGCATGAAAACTGCTACAATGTCTGTAGCTACCGTCATCAATAAAGAGCAAAATTTAGTAAATAGATAAGTTCGGTGAAGAAAAAGACAATATATAGTAAGGGTTTGGCTGTTGTTGGTTTTGTTATATGCTGTTGAGTTGATAGTGACCCTATTACCAACAGCTCTGAACGCTGCCTTATCCTGAGCCAACCTCACCATCTCTGGCACACCTGCCCCAATTACCACAATCAGCGTGTCAATCCATCTTATTTGGGGTCTTCCTTTCCTGCCCTGACCCTCCACCTTTCTAAGCATGATGGTCTTCTCCAAAGACTGGTCCTTGATTAGACACTGTAACTAATGACATTCACCAATTTTAATTAACATTACAAAGCAAAATGTCTAGGAATGATTGCATAAAAATGTGGTATGATTTATAAATTTTTATTCAGAAAGAAAATGTAAAAGTAAAACAACAAATGCTGAAGGGGGAAATAAATGAGCATAGAGCTAACTAGTATATACTTTATAAGTTATATTAATATATGTAATTGGAAGCAGAGTAGCATCCACTTCCTAAACAACATGCATCTGGAAACTCTATGATAAATGTCAATAGTTATAGAAAGGCTTAAGGACTTTTGTTCTATGAGTTATGCTCGACTCTATGGCAATCAACAAAAACAACACAATATATGTAAATTAAGTTTAATGAAAAAAATATATTTTTCTTGTTCTCACTAACTACAGTGTTGTTGTTTTTTAAAAATAAATTTCTACTGAAACACTGCAAAAAAAAGTTGTTCTGAAAGAAGGAACTTTGTATCAAAAAAAATGGTATACAGCTATGGAAAAGTAAACCTAATTTCAAATCAATAAACCTGTGCATGCCTGTTGTAGATTGGGTTTCCTGGGAAGCAGTCTCAGAATTAGAATTTAGTATGCTGGGTGTGCAGAGTGTTGTTAAGAGCAATACCTGTGGGAAGAAAGAGTTAGACGAAAGTGTGGACAGAGAGAGAAGCTGAGCTGTGGTGCCAGCCCAGTGATGGTGTCAATTGATTCCATGGAAGGTTTGAGACCTGGCATTACCACTCAGAACTGTGTTGAGTTGGGAGAGGAGGAGGAGCAGGCTTTTGTATTCTCCTGTCAGTCTTTCATTGGAAATGGAGCACCCTAGAAGAATGTGTGCCCTTGGGTGAGGCAGGTCTCTGCAGCTGAGATAGGCTGACAGCTGAAGGTAGCTCTCCCAGGAAGTCCTTTGCTCATAAAAGGGTCCTTTGTTCATGACTGTAGCCACCACAAGGTCCTAGTGAGAATTTCTAAAAATCAGCTCATAATTAATGCTAATAATCCAGGACAAAGACAAGGAGGGAGGAAGGTGAGGATAATGATGGTGTGTGAACTGACAAGATTTCGATCTGGAGGGTCTGGAAGTGAGGTTGGCTTAGAGTTCTGACAACAACAACAACAAAAACACCTGAGCTGACATCTTCTGATGAGACGATCAGGAGGGGACAAGGAGGGTGACATTCAGGGTGAAGGGCTGTGATGGCAGAAGAGGGCAAAGCTTGTACAGGGACAACAATAAGATACTGAAGAATGCTGTTGAGGAGAATTAAAGGAGATAGAAGCAGAGGGTGTGGGTGGGAAGTCTTGATGCTCTTAATTAAGATATTGGTTTGACTTAACATTGGAGGGTTACAGAGAAAACAATTCTGGCTGCTGCTTGTAGTACTGATTACACAGTGAAAATGGAGATAGAAGGATCTGGAGTAGCCTAGGGGACTTTATGCCTCCATGCCTCCCTCATCCAGAGTATACTAGCATGAGGCAAGTGAAGTGCCTAGGGGGCAAAATGTTTGCACCCACAGAGTGCCTGTTCAGTCTCTAGATAGCTCCCTTGCCTCACCTGGATATAATTCTCACTCATAAGGACAAATACTGCATATGGCAATTATTGTAAAAATTGAAGAATAACTAGTAAGATATGTATAAAAGTCCAAAAGAGGAAGAGGAGGGAACGGGGGGCGGGAGAGGCAGCTGGAAATCATTAGGATAACATAGTGTGGTGAGCTGAGGAGGGTGGTGGTGGTGAAGGAATTAGGAAAGATCCACTGGATGATAGTGGACACAGATCAATGGTGATTAATTTTATGGAACACAGTATATGGGAATGATTGTATGAAGCAATGGGAATGACAGAATGTGTGAAACATAATGTATATGAATGAAAAACAATGTATAAGAATTTTATATGCAAACTAATAATTTTTTTTTTAAAATCAAACAATAAACAAGGACTTAGAGGTGGGAAGAGTGCAATGACATTGTGGGTACTGTAATTAATATTATGAAACAAAAAGTGTATGAATGGCTACATGAAAATGAATTTGTTTTGTTAGCTTTCACTCAAATCTCAATTTAAACAAATAAACAACCCTCCCCAAACCCCACCCCCAAACTAAGCACCCAGTGTTGAGGAGACTTTCTGTAGAATGCAGAAGAGTAGGCTGTGTGTGCATGAATTGATGGCACAAATGATTAAATACTTGGCTGCTAATGTAAATGTTGATGGTGTGAACATGCCTAGCTTTTCTGTTGTGGGGAGAAAGATGAGTAATCTTTTCCCTTGTGATTTACTGCCTCTGAAAACCTGCTGGAGTGCCAGCTATGGGTCAGTTCTGGTTCAATAATACACAACAGCAACATTGAGTGTTCTGTGGGAGAAATGCCTGGCAATCTGCTCCCTTCAGGATTACAGTCCAGGAAATACAATGGGAACGTTTCCCTCTGGTCTCTGGGGTGGAACTGATTGGAAAATGACTTGACAGAACCTGGAAGCAATACCACCATTTGGGCAGCTGGTATTTCGTTGGAATGAAGATTTCTCTGGGGTGGGGTGTGGGGGGTAGGACATTTGCAGGGAGAACCTAGAAGTCTTATCCACAGTAAGTGGGGAAAACAATTTGACAAAAAAGAAGAGCTTGTGGAAAGATTGAGACAAAAATGCCTTGGGTTATAAGGATTAGATATATAATCCTCTTAAGCTGTTAGTGGAACAAGAGCTAGGATGCGCTACACTTAATGTTTATCCTTATTGTTAAAGATGTCAAAGATAAATAAAGATGGAGAAATTGCCTCCCTTTTTAAATTCCAAAAGGCAGTAGTAGGTTTACATAACCAGATGTAAAAACTGTATTCTATGCAACATGGTTGGAGCATAGTCTAAAGCAGAAAATAGATAGAGGAAGGAAATAAGATTTGTTGAAAAGAAAAGAAAATCATGGAGAGCCTCGATGGCCTATTTACTAGGGAGTTGGGCTGCCAACACAAAGGAAGATGGTTCGAATTCACCACCTGTTCCAAGGGAGAAAGATAGGCAATCTCTTCCTGTGCTATTCACAGCCTCTGAAAACCTGCTCAATTTATGAATCAATTCTGACTTGATGGCAATGAACAACAGCAAGAGACCTGATATGTAATAAAATTACCTAAATAACAATCAAACTCTTTCCTCTACAGGGTTATGAGCCAGATGCTAGCGTAACCAAGTTGGCAGAGCAGTATGCCAAAGAGGTATGTACTTTATATGTAAAGTTATTTTTGCTTTTCTCTGTCCTGTGAAGTTGCTTAACTGTCACACTTCTGTATGCTAGAATGGTACCAAGCTGACACTGACGAATGATCCATTGGAAGCGGCACGTGGAAGCAATGTATTAATTACAGACACTTGGATAAGCATGGGACAAGAAGAGGAGAAGAAAAAGCGGCTCCAGGCTTTCCAAGGTTACCAGGTTACAATGAAGGTACAAATCGAAACCTCTCTGAAGGTTCATTAATTCCATTCATAAAAGCCAGGACTATCTAATCACTCATTCACTTTGAGGCAAGCCAACAGTCCTTTTGTTCCCTATGAAGGACTCTGGCTGTCTGGGTACTCCAGGGATTTCTCTCCTTCTGAAGATTAGCTGTGTCCTTAGAAAAGATACTTTTGTGCTTGATAAAGAAATTGGAAACCTGAGCTGAAAAGAGAGCTGGCTTCTCCCTCTCACAACAATCAAGGAATTGGAACGCTTTATGCTGCATGTGTTTAGGAAGATTAGGCTGCTTCTGATTTCCACTAATAACAGCCCCATAAATATTCTCAGGCAATCATCAACTCCATTTTCCCAAGGACCTCAAGGTTCAGTTTAATTTTGCTAACTCCTCTGGGTCATGCTCTGGGAAATGTATCCAATCTGAAATGTTCTGTTAAGATCAGCACCAGTGGGTGTCAATCTTGAGTGCATGTCACTATAGTGGCTTAGCAGTAAGGAGTTGTGGTGTCAATCTTGAGTGCGTGTCACTATAGTGGCTTAGCAGTAAGGAGTTGTGCTGTCAACCTGAAGGCACGAGGTTGGAATCTACCAGGTGCTCTTTGGGAGAAAGATGAGCAATCTCCTCTCATGCCATTCACTGCCTCTGATAACCCGCTGGAGGGTCAGTTATGAGTAGGTTCTGACTAGAAGGTACACAATTACAACAACAAATCACCTAAAGGGCTAATTAAAGCGCAGATGACTAGATCCCATCCTCCAGGGCTTCTGACTTACTAGATCAGAGATGAGGCCTGAAGACATGCATTTTGAACACGTTTGCAGATATTCTGATGCTGCTGAGTCAGGCTCTCACTTAGGGGAGCCCTGTGTGGAAGAATGCCCTAAAAGTCAGGTGTGGCAAGGGGGACAATTGCTAAGTTGTTACCCACCAATTCAAACACTCTCTAAATTACATCTGCCCAGTTTACAAATGAATAGATGTTGGTAGAGATGGTGCGCTTCAGCAAAAAAATGCCTTTTCCATTCTTGTCTGATGGCCTTGAGCTCCTTGGACTTGTGCCTAGGAACATATATATACCCCCATTCCCACTCCACTCTCACCCCCATCCCCGTTTGTCCGTGCCTTCTCCATGCCTCTAAATGATTATATGCTTGAAAAAGGATATAAAGGATCTTTCCAGGTTAACAAAAACTGCTCCTTGACACTATCTTCAAGTATGCCCCAGGTCAAACCTACCATATGCTTCTGTGCATGTATTGGAGTTTTAGTGGAAAAGCGATTTTGCAATGATAATATTTTTTTAATAAAGTAATGGTTTAAGTCCATGGAGGAAAAATGGCTAGTTTCCTCCCATGGACATTAGAAGCTCTGAAAACCCACCAGAGAGTCAGTTATGAATCAGTTTCACCTTGATGGTTCATAACAACAACATATATAAATAGAATTGTGTTCTTTTAAAAGCATCCAATAAGATGGATATATGAAAGTGGAAAAAGTTACAATACTGTTTCCTCACATTCTCTTAAGAATGACTAGAGGCAGCCACCTTTGAAGAGTTTGATGTGTCTTTCGTAGATGTTTTCTGTGTGTTTAGGGAGCTCAGGTGGCTTAGTAGTTTGGTGTTGCACTGCCATGTCAAAGGCATGCAGTTCAAATCTCCAAGAGAGAAAGATAGGCAATCTCCTCCTATGTGATTTACTGCCTCTGAAAATCCACTGGAGAGTCAGCTGAGTCATTTCCAACTCAAAGATATATAACAACAACTCTATGTGTTTGTGTGTATATACACAAGTATTGATTTTTAATAAATGTTATGTTGGCAACTATGTAGACATATTATGATTTCTTTTTTCTGCTTCACAATATTTTGTCTCATTTATTTAAATATTTTTTTCTTTTGAATGACTGCATAATGTTCCAAAGGATGAATAGATCATGTTATTGCTGTTGTTGTTATGTGCCATTGAGTTGCCTGTGACTCATAGGAACCCTATATACAACAGCCCTAAACCCTGCTCTATCCTGTGGCAATCTTATTGTCTCTGACACACCTATCCCCATTACCCCAGGCACTGAATCAATCCATTTCATTGACGGTCTTCCTCTCCTGAGCTGTCCCTCCACTCTCCCAAGCATGATGTCCCTCTCCAAGGACTGATCCCTCCTTGCAACATGTCCAAAGTATGTCAGACAAAGTTTCAAAATCCTTAACTCCAAGAAGCAGCCTGCCTTCACCCTCTCCATAATGAACTTCATAATTTATTTAAAATATTAGGAAACTCTGGCAGCCCTTGTCTGCAAGGAGTTGTACTGCTAATCCAAAGGCTGTGCCTCCCTGGCAGCAGGAATCAACAAGCAGCTCAGTGGAAGAAAGATGGGCAATTTCCTCCCATGTGATTTACAACCTCAGGAACCCAATGGAGCTATGAATCTGATCCAACTCAATGTCAATGAGTTTTGAGTTACTGGTAAATGAGGATAACCTCAATGATCTAAATGGCAAACAGTGCTGTAATGAACATCCTTATACCTATTTCTTCATGCAAGTATTACTGGAGAATAGATCTACAGAGGGAAAAAATATCTAGGCAAAGTTGTATGCACTATTTAAAATATGGGGGAAATATAGGAGAAGCTGCTACATTGTTTATTCACAAAGGATTAAAAATTTATAATCCCACAGCTGTGTATTAGTGTTCTTTCTCTCATGCATTGGGAAAGTCTGCTGTCAGAGACCTCTCCAAGGTACTGAGGAGCAATGATGTCAGTCTGGAGACTGATACAGGCCATGGTTTTTGCAATTACTTGCTATGAATCAGAGAGCTGGAAAATGGCTAGGGATAATAGAAGAGTTGATGCCTTTGAGCTGTGGTGCTAGAGAAGAATATTGAATAATCCATAGACTGCTAGGAGAACAAACAATTTTGTCATGGAGAGGGTGAAACCAGGCTGCTGCTTGGAGGCAAGGGTTCTGAAGCTCCGTCTGACATACTTTGGACGTGCTGCAAAGTGGGATCAGTCCTTGGAGAGGGACATCATGCTTGGGAGGGTGGAGGGACAGCACAGGATAGGAAGACCCTTGATGAGATTGATTGATTCCGTCAGGGGTGTTGGAGTTAGTAAGATTGGCAAGGGATAGAGCAGGGTATAGGGCAGTTGTACATAGGGTTGCCATGAGTTACAAGTGACTTGATGGTACATAACAACAACAACATTGTATATTTTAAATTTTTTACAAATCTAAAGGTAAAATTATACCTTGTGCTTTTAAAAATTTGTATCTCCATGAGTGTTAGCCAAGTATCTTTCTCTGTGTATTGGGCATTTCCATTTCTTTTCCTATAAACTGCAATCACATCCTTTGCCAATTTCCTCATCTTATGTATTTCTTCATTTTGGTTATTGGAGCTCTTTATATATTATGGCTGGGGAGCTCTGGTGGCCTAGTGTTAAGAAGCTGTGCTGCAATCTTGAAGGCACATGGTTCAAAATCACCAGCTACATGGTTTGAGGCCGCAAGCCACTCCATGGGATTAACTGCCTCTGAAAATTCTCTGGAGTGTTCCAACTGTATGGTACACAACAACAACAAAAATCTTTTGTCATATATATGTCATATGATCTCAAAGGGAACTATAAAAAAATATTTTTTATGAAAATATATACAGCAAATCTCATTCCCATTCCATAGTTCTAGACTTAATGATCAGTGATTTTAGTTACATTATTTATATTGTGGCAACATTCTTGTTATTTCTGTACTAGTTGTTTCACTTTTATTTACTTGTCTCTCTCCCCCTGCTTTTTCATTGGTTTACTCTTGTTTCTGAAAGAAGAACGTGGCAGTTGCCCCAGGCCTGATCACTCCTTAAGAAACTTGATAACATCTAAGGCACCAGAGCAGAGACCAAACCAGAAATCAGACCAAAGGTTGGACCGGACAATGGATCCTGATAAGACTCTGGGCCTGATCACAAAAGCCCAAACCTATGTTAATTAACAGCCCCAAATTCCAAGAAAAATTCCATCTTCCCTAGAACCTCTATAAAAAGAAATCAGCCTTGACTGTCCCTTGTGCCATTTTGACCTTCTCCGCCCCTGGTCTCTTTCTCTCTTTTGCCCTCCACTATCAGTCAAAACAGCTGATGCTCCAGCGGGTTTTCAGAGACCATAAATAACAAGGGAGGAGATTGCCCATGCTTTTTGGGTAAAGCAGCTAGTAGTTTCGAATGGAGTGCTTTTGAAATTGCAGTATAGCTTTCTACCACTAGGCCTTAGGTTAACTTATTTATTAGTTAGTTTAAAAATGAGTTCAGAGGACAGGTTAAATTTACAATTTGGAGAACAATTTAGGACCATAGTCTCGGAAACTCTTAAGATTTAATCGACCTAAATCAAGATTTTTTTAAAAGAATTTAAATCTTGGTTCTATGATTTCCCCCCGTTGTTTTTTTTTTCTAATCAGAATTCATATATTGTGTTCTCAATTAGAACAGCTACTAGTGTTACTGAACAAAGGGTTCTTTCCATAGTTAATTGCCAATAAGACGTATTGCAGTATCCAAAGCACTTTATTGAAGATCTGGGAGAGCAGAGAATCATCTCAAAAACTGCCTTCCCATCTAAGAGTGGTCATTGGCTTTTATACTTGAGTTAGATGTTACACTGAGAAGAAAAAATCTTCAAAGAGATAAATGCTAATTTAATTACATATAACTAAGAAAAACAGTTTTTAAGAAGTGAATATTAATTCAGGAAACATGCATTTTCTTTCCTGATAAACAATCAATGTTAAATACTTTACATGACTAAAGAAAGAAAAATAGACTAGGGCAAAACAACCAGTTTTGCAGGCTGGAGGTGACTGATGTCAGTTTTATAACTATACTATATATCTGAATAATCTTTAATTTATTTACACTGCCATAGCAATAGTAGTTTGGAAGCAGGAGTGGCATCCAGTTCCTAAACATGACTCTGGAAACTATGAACTTTAGGAAAGGTTTCAGGATTTTTGTTCATAGTGTCACTGTGAGTAGTGAGTTGTGCTCAACTCGACAGCAAACAACATCAATACTAGTTGCCAAACACCTCTAGGTCTTCTGTTACCAAGGTAGAGGCAGTGGTTCATGTGGACAATTAATCCTGTAGTCCAGTTCCTTCTCTGATTCTTGGGCTTCCTTATTTCTCTTTTGTTCCAGATGAATAAAGAAAAATAGCTGTATTTCAAAGAGAACTTTTAAATTACCTGAAGTTTACGTCAGACTTTCTTTGATCAATTCTAGGTGCTGTTTTTCTGGTGCTTGGATTATAGGCTTGAAGAACAGTCATCTTTCTTACTGATGATGACTAGGATAAATGCCAATTCTTTTCCATGTCACTTTGCTCATATTTTAGAAACTCAGAACATTCTGAACTAGAGGTAGGGTGGGAAGCACAATAAAATTTTAGTCCAAAGACAGTAATTGTGAAGTAAGAATTATGAAGAAATGTCATTTTGAATCTGTAAGAGCACAATGTTAATAGATGGGGAAATGAATTTTTCAGGAATTACCAGTTGGAAAAAATGAAAACTGCTAATACATTTATTTGTATAAGGAATGAAACATCCAGTGCATAGTGGTCATAATCTTTTCTAATGTATTATCATCTCAGTGATTTTCCCCCAAATGCTTCAGGTACCAAAAGCCACAATTTGGAGATAAGCTCAAAATATAATGTAATTTTATAAAACCAACTCTTTTATGTATGCTGACATAATTTCTGACTTTAGCTATAAGTTATGTGTTATGTTAGTAGAGTTTATTGCTAAAAGTCCCACAGTCCCACTAGACAACACATCAGAAGTTTGAGTTAGTGGTTTAACTTGGAGTGATGCTCTCTCTACAAAAAGTAAGTATTAAATTCCATAAATTGAAAGTAAATTCCTCAATCTACCCATTTTTCCTCCATCTTTGTATTGATCTCTAGCCCTATGGCTATGTTTTTAAATATTAGATAAGATGTATATGGCATAGTCTTATCTCCATCTCTTCTTTAGACTGCTCAAGTTGCAGCCTCTGACTGGACATTTTTACACTGCTTGCCCAGAAAACCAGAAGAAGTAGATGATGAAGTGTTTTATTCTCCAAGGTCACTAGTGTTCCCTGAGGCTGAAAACAGAAAGTGGACAATCATGGTAAGAAGGAAACAGGAAATGGAAGAGAAGTTGGAGTTTTCTGGGTGGTCCTTACTTGGTTATTCATGCCTTTTGGTAAATATGAGACAATGGAGATTACCTAGCTATATTATTTGCTCCCATGGGATTGATATTTTTTTCAAAGTTCATAATAAATTATTGTTTATTGGTGTTTGAGTAAAGAACTGTACTGCCACCTCAAAAGCAACTGATGGGAAATCTCTTTCCATGCAATTTACAGCCTCTGAAAATCCACTAGAAGTTCAACTATGAGTCAGTTCCAACTCCAGGGCACATAATAACATAACAAACAATGTATCTTTAATGAAGTAAAAGGAATCTCTTTTCAAAGAAATCTACTTTTATAAAAATGCTTATTGCTCTTGGTCAGGTTGAACATTCAGCTTAACTCTATAATGGCACTGTTGTTATTCTGTTTCATTATGTTGAATGAAAGATGCACCATCTCCTCATTCCCTACCCTCATAAGGCACCTGTTATGATTAGAGTAAGTGTATATTTTAAAGAAAGCAAGAGGTATAGCCATGTTGAAATGAAGATAGAGACTAATGTAGAACAAACACTTGCCTGGGAGTGAGGAAACTTGAATTCTAGAACTCATTGTATTAGTTTAACTGTTATTTATAACTATGTTACCTTGAATGAGTATACCTCATTAGGTCTCAGTTCTCTAACCTGAAAAATAAGCAGATCGAGTTACAGAGATGGAAAATGATAAGCTACTTGGAGTCCTGCATTGGGAAGGATTCTGAACCCGCCTCTGGTAAAAGAATGCTTTTAACTCATTACTGGAGATAGTGATAGAAAGGCTATATTCTGTATGTCTTCCCCCTCCCCTTTTTAAAAATGTATGTCTTGAACAAGGAGTGCATTGAAAGGAGGGCTTGGTGTGGTGGGGAGAAAATATACAACAATGGGGAAAAATTAAACGACAACATTTCTATGTGTTATTTATTTATTTTAGAAACTAGGAAAGACCCAGTGGAAACTTGCAAAAGGTGGGTGGGTAATACTGGGCATAGATTGACGGTGAACAACACAATGTGAATAGAGGATTGTGCGAAAGGCAATGTATATAAATGGAACACAATATATATGGATTTTGTATGCAAACCATTATAAAATAAAAATAATAAATTCATACTACCATACTATCATTAACTCTTTAAAATTTTTTATTTTATATTGATTTGCTTTCAAAGATTTTATATATTGTGTTGCAAATTATCCTTCATTCAGATGGTATTTTACGTAACTATTCTCATTCATTATGCTTTATAAAATGAATCACCATTATCCTGTCCCCACTGGATATTTCCCATTTCCTTTACCACTCTCTTCACCCACCCTATGATTTCCCCACTGCCCATCCTCACCTCTTTGCTCCCCCGCTCCCCACCTTGGATCCTCATACATGTTTAACTTGTTATCTTTCTACTTCTACAACAATGGTCTTATGTAGTTTTTGTCCTAATGAGACTGAGTTAGTTCACTCAGCATAATACTCTCTCCCATGTTATGTAGCATTTTTCAAAATCATTGCTTCTGAGTGCTGCACAATCCATCTTGTCAATATACCACAATTTCTCAATCCATTATTTTTTGTTGTTGAGCATTAGGGCTGTTTTCATATTCCTGCAATTGTGAATAATGCTGCTCTGAACATTGTTGTACACATCTCTGTTTGTGTCTCAGTCCTACTTTTCTCAGGGTATATTCCTAGTAGTAGAATAGCTGAGTCATATGGAATTTCTATCTTCAGCTTTTTGAGGAAACACCAAAATGCCTTCCAGTGTAGTTGGACCATTTTACAATCCCATCAAGAGTTTATGAGCGTTCTCATCTTTCTGTATCCTTTCTAACATTTATTGCTTGCTGTCCTGTTGTGGTTTTGATTTGCATCTCTCTTATTGCCAGTGATTTTGAGCATTTCTTCATGTGTCTGTTGTCCATCTGAATGTCTTCCTCTAGACCATTTTGTAATTGTGCTATCAGTCTTTTTCTTGTGGAGGCCCAGTAGTATTCTGTAAACTTTTGTTATGAGACCCTTGTCTGAGATGGTATTGTTGTTGTTATGTGCTGTTGAGTTGCTTGCAACTCATAATGACCCTATTTACAATAGCCCTAAACCCAGCTCCATCCCTTGCCAATCTTATTGTCTCCAACACACCTATCCCCATTAACCTAGTCACTGAATCAATCCATCTTATCAAGGATCTCCCTCTTCTGCATGATCCCTCCAGCCTCCCAAGCATAATGGCCCTCTCCAAGTACTGATCCCACCTGGCAACATGTCCAAAGTATGTCAGATGAAGCTTCAGAAACCTTGCTTCCAAGGAGCAGCCTGGCTTCACCTTCTCCAGGACGAACCATTTCATTTTCTTAGCAGTGCATGGTATATTCAATACTCTTCTCCAGCACCATAGCTCAAAGGCATCAATTCTCCTTCTATCATCCCTGGTCGTTGTCCAGCTCTCTGATGCATATCAAGTAATTGCAAAAACCATTGCCAAATATTTTTTCACAGTCAGTAGAATTTCTGTTCACCCTTTTGGAAAAAGGTTTTGATGTGTACAGGGATTTAATATTTAGAAGGTCCTATTCATCAAGTTTATCCTTTCGTAGCTGTGTATGTCTGCCTGTATTTGTCAGCCTCTTTATACATTATGCTAGGCCTTCTAAGCTTGATCCCATTTTGTCACTTGTGATCTTTATCTTTGTAGGTTTGGGGCCTATCATTAACTTTTATACAATTATTTATATACATTGTTTCATTAATGCACATTTATTTTATACAATCATTTACGTATATTTTGCTTTATATAATCAAGTGTCTGTTGTAACTTATCTATTTCTTCAAGCCTCATACCCTCATACTTTGGGCATGTTGCCAGGAGTGACTAGTTCTTGAAGAATTACATCATGATTGGAAGGGTGGAGGGTCAGTGTAGGAGAGGAAGACCCTGGATGAGATGGATTGACACAATGACTATGACAATAGGGTCAGGAGTATAGGAGACAGTTTGGCTCAAGATAAGTCAGGGTTCATAGAGTTTCTATGAGTCACAGTCAACTGCTTGATGGCACATAACTGTACATATGTATATATTGTTGTTAAGTGCCACCGAGTTGTAGACAACTCACAGCGAACCTATGAACAAAAGACCTGAACACTTGTATAACTTTCATTGTTTCTCCAAGTTCATAGAGTTTCAGGAGGCAAGCTATTTTGGAAGTGGATGCCTCTCCTGCTTCCAAGCTTGTTTTAATCGAGGAGCTCCAGAAAGCACTGTCCACCATGGGTAACAATTATTGCATTTGATACATCAGTGTCACTGAGAAAAAAATTAAATGGGACAAATATGCTGTAAAAAAGGAAACACTTTTAGAAGGCTTTTTAGATATAGATACAAAGAAATAATTAAAATGAAATGATAACACATAGACAGTTCTTCTAGCTTACTTACTATTTTTCCACTAATAGTAGGTACCTAACACAGTGCCGAGGAAATATTTCTTAAGTGACTGGTACATGGTAAAGAACTTAGTACACTGTCTTGTATATATTAATCACCCATTAAATATTTGCCACCATTATTTTTGGTTTAAAATTTGTGTACTTTTGGAAATAAAGTCAGATCTCTCAAGAAGACCCAGATTTGGACAGCAGATATTATCCATTAGTCCAAATGTTTTCCTATTCTTACCATACATTTCAGTTATCTGAAACTTGCCTGTTCTTGTTGTTAAGTGTTGTCGAGTCGCAGATGTCTCACAGCAACCCTATGAATGAAAGACCTGAGCACTGTTCATAGAGTTTCCGGAGGCAAGCCATTTCGCAAGTGGATGCCACTCCTGCTTCAAAGCTTATTTTAACCGGGAAGCTCCACCAAACACTGTCCACTATCGGTAGCCATTGTTGCATTTGACACATCAGTGTCACAGTGTTTAGCATCACAGAAACCAGGAGAAACTTGCCTGGGTTGCAAATAATCATGCCAGAGTATAAACACATAGGGATAGGATGGGTAGCGCTATGGTCTCTACCAAAAGCCAGTGCATAAATCTCATTTATGACTGGAAAATCCATTCAAGCTACTATTGTCCTATCCAGTCATAATTGGAATGAGGCTCGAGTCAGTATTTCACTTGTGTATCTATTTAGGGTTCACCTTATTTACTTTGCCTTTCTTTAGGAAAATGACAACAATAGTAATAATCTCAGTTCAGAAATGTTTCTGTATAATTTATTTGGGAAAGACCAGAGGTTTTCACAAGTGCAACTGGGTTCCCCTTCCCTAGGTCCCTAAGCAGATAGTTGCTAATGTTTATTAATTTCTTTTTCTTTTGTGATGTCCTCCCAGGCTGTCATGGTGTCCTTGCTGACAGATTACTCACCTCAGCTCCAGAAGCCAAAGTTTTAATTCCATGATGCTTGTCAAAAGAGAAGTGATGTTCTTCAGTAATAGAATGAGTCGATTGATGGAGGAAGAAGAGTATGAGGGAAAAACAGAGTAACAAATAAATTTCTCATACATGGTCTGGGTGAATTGTGTGATATTATTTTGCCCTTCTGACATCTCTCAGAAGCCCTTAAGCAAAGTGGCACTGATGCCCTATGATACATGGCCTGACTTGGTTCAAATGCTCTAACTCACAAATTTCTGAGTTATTTCTGGGTATATCATATTAGTCATGCTATACATCCATGTTCCTAACATGTAACATCTAAGCCATTAAATGTGATCTATGTTTATTACCTTAATAAATTATCAAATATGCTAATTAACACATAAAATTCTACCAGGCAGTTAGCTACTGATCTATCCAGGACCAACAAGGAAACCAAATGATCCATCTCACAGACAGAATGGAGTTTCCAGACCAATGAAGTCGACATTTGCCTGTGGAAGAAAATGAAATTTTCAGAAAATAGCTATAACTGTGCCTGAACTATGGAGATTTTTCTCCGATCTTCAAGAGCAAACATCTTTTCTCTGTAAGGAAAACTTGAGGAGACAAGCCTGAAGAAATCTTTGTGAGTAAGTGGTAAAACTATAGATGCTGGCTAGGAATGTAAAATCCACTATAGAGTGATACTTTCTTAGGTTCCAGTTTCCCAGCAGGAGCCATTTAATGATTTTCCCATGTTTATGTTTATCATGCATCTACTTCACATTCTACATTACATAGTCTCATAAATCTTGCAATAATCTTCATAAATCTTGCCATAATTTTTTTTCCTCTCAAAGATTTTTTCCCCTCTCTTCTGGATGATCAAAATTCACATTATTGGATTAGTTATGCTGTAATTAAGACTAGATTTCTCTTCTGAATGACCAAAATTTGTATCATTGAATTATGAAGATTGAATTTTTCTTTTGTTGTTGTTATTAACAATACGGTTAAAAGTATACTTTTTAAAGTATGCTATAAAGTTAATCTCTTCCAAGAAGACCTAGATTCAGAGAGTAGAAATCCTTTACTAAAATGTTTTACTTATATTATCCTACATGTCATTTATCCAACAGTTGTCCAGGTTGCAAACTATCATGCCAGAGTATCAACATGTGGATCATAAAGGGAACAGTTTTAAACACTTCCTCCCCTTCAAAAAAACCCCTAAAACAAAAACAATGTATTTTACAGAGGACAAAGAGTCATTTCCTTTCTTTTCCACATAAGACTGTTTCCAGGCTGGTTGACTCGTATTCTTCATCAGACAACTATGACTTAAATGAGTTAAGCAAGAGATGAATTACAAATGAGATTCACAATGAAGAATAAATAAAACGTGTTTTAAGGGAAGGGGAAACACTCATGATGGTATGGGAGGGGGGAAGTAAATTTTTCCAGTAAGTGTCAAAGGTGACTTTCACTTCCCCAGTAATTTATTGGAAGTGCTTAAGAAAGAGTGTTTAGTGGAATATCTTCCTTTATTAGAGAGTATAAGAATGAATTATGCAGATGACACACCTCTGCTTGCTGAAACTGAGGAGGACATGAGGCATTTGCTACAGGTCAAGGAGTGCAACCTTCAATATAGGTTGAAGCTCAACATCAAGAAAACAAAAAGTTTCTCACCACTGGGCCAATTGGCAGCTCAAGATTGATGGAGAAGAGATTGTGATTGTTAACAACTTCAGCTTGCTTTGTTCCACAGTAAACACTCTTGGCACCAGCAGTCAGGAAATCAAAAGATGAATTGCAATGGGAAAGTCTGCTCTCAGGGTCCTTTCTGGAGTACTGAAGAGCAATGAAGTAAGTCTGGAGACTTAGGTGCACCTGATCTAGGCCATGGTCTTTGTAATTACTTGTTGTTATGCATCTGAGAGCAGGAAAATAACTAAGGATTATAAAAGAAGGATCGATGCTTTTGATTTGTGGTGCTGGTAAAGAGTTTTGAACATACTGTGGATTGCAAGGAGAACAAACAGGTCAGTCCTGGAGAGGATGAAACCAGTCTGCTCCCTGGAGGCAAGGATTTTTAAGCTCCATCTCACATACTTTGGAAATGTGGCCAGTAGAGACTAGTTCTTAGAGAAGGAAGACTGGAAGGACAGCAAAAGAAAGGCTAGTGATTGGAGAAATGGGATTAAGTCTGTTGGAGATGATGAAATTGGTTTAGGTTAGAGCAGGGTTCAGAGCTAATGTACGTAGGGTTACAATGAGTTGCAGGTCACTCAATGGCACATAACAATAACAAGGAATGATTTAAGCAGAAAGTACTATGGGGATTGTGGAGGCTCTTCCTCAAAGTGTCTACTTAGAAATGATATAATCCTGAGTATCCTCCCACCTCCCACTACCTCTCATGGTAGTATGTGCTTTTCTAGTCTTTGAACCAAATGAATGGTATTTGTTTCTTCATTCAATAGGAAAGAACTTGTAATCTTCATTCTCTTGCCAAAATTTAATCACTATTAGCTCAAAATTTCCCCCAAGCTTTCTTGCTTGCTTTATTCCCCACATCCCATATATACACACAGTTTAACAACTTTCTTAGCCCAAACAAACTTGTAGGGATTTCTTTGCTTCTTAACTTTTCATTTTAAGAAGACATTATTGAGACCTCCTGGACTGAACCCTTATTCGCTGTTGGTGGGAGTATAAAATTATGCAACCACCATAGAAGGCAGTATGACACTTTCTCAAAAAGTTGGAAATAGAAATATCATTTGACCCAGCAATTCCACTACTGGGAATATACCCTAAAGAAACCAGAACTGCCACCCAAGTAGACATATGCACACCCATGTTTACTGCTGCTTTGTTCACAATAGCAAAGAGTTGGAAACAACCCAAGTGCCAATCAACAAAACAAAAGAATGGCTAGAGGAGCTGTGGTATATTCACACAAGTGAATACTATGCAGCATTGAAAAAGAAGGAACTCATGAAATATACAAAATGGGTGACCCTGGAGGACATTATGCTGAGTGAAATATCCCCATCACAAAAGGGCAAATAGAACATAGTGGCACTGTTGTACAATGAGACTGATATCGGCGAGCTCTGGTGGCCTAGTGGCAGGAAACTGCATTGCAATCCCAGAGGTGCGTGGTTCAAATCCACCAGATGCTCTGCTGAAGAAGGAGGAACAATCGCCTCCTGTACCAGTCAGATCCAATTTGACGATACACACAAAAAAATGAGACTGATATCGGGATTGGGGGGAGCCTAAGAAAAGAGGGGGTAAATAATGTATACTGCATTGGAACAGATGAGGGAGAGAACGATTTGGGGAGAATATATGATTAGGTATTATTTTCATGTCAAGAGTCCAGAAAAATAAAAGCATAATAAAGTGGACTATGGACTTGGGATGGGGGGGGGTTGTATAACAATGAAATAATTTTTTCTTTTTAAAGAGAATTGTTAACTGAAGGGAGGGGTGGGCAGGGAGAAAAATGTGCAACAATGAATGAATGGGAAAAAATTAAATGGGAATAATATGCTGTAAATATATATGTTGTTGTCATCACTGTTATGTGCCATTGAGTCTGTGAATTATAGCGATCCTATTTACAACAGCTCTAAACTCTGCCCTATCCTTTGCCAATCTCACGATCTCCGGCACACCTACTCCTGTTACTCCAGTCACTGAATCAATCCATCTCATTGAGGGTCTTCCTCTCCTGTGCTGTCCCTCCACCCTCCCAAGCATGACGTCCCTCTTGAAGGACTAGTCTCTCCTTGCAACATGTCCAAAGTATTTCAGACGAAGCTTCAGAATCCTTGCCTCTAAGGAGCAGCCCAGCTTCGCCCTCTCCAGGACAAACCTTAGCAATCCATGGTATATTCAATACTCTTCTCCAACACCACAGCTCAAAGGCTTCAATTCTCCTTCTATCATCCCTAGTCATTGTCCAGCTCTCTGATGCATAGCAAGTGATTGCAAAGACCATGGCATGTATCAGGCACACCTTAGTCTCCAGACTGACATGGTTGCACTTCAGTACTTTAGAAAAGTCTCTAACTGCAGACTTTACCATTGCAATATGTCTTTTAATTTCCTGGCTGCTGGTGCCAAGAGTGTTGACTATGGATCCAAGCAAACCAAAACTGTGAACAATTGCAATGTCTTCACCATCCTTTATGATGCTGCCAACTGGCCCTGCGGTGAGAATCTTTCTTTTCTTGATATTAAGGCTCAAACCATACTGAAGACTGCAGTCCCTGACCTTCCACAGCAAGTGCTCCAGGTCCTCAGTTTCAGCAAGCAGGGTTATGTCATCTGCATAATGCAGATTGTTGATGATTCTTCCTCCAATCCTGATGCCACATTTCTCCTCATCCTCTTCCTTCAGAAGAAGCTGTTCTGCATATAGGTTGAAAAGGTGTGGAGACAGGGTGCAGCCCTGGCATACACCCTTCCCAATTTTGAACCATGCAGTGTTTCCCTGCTCTGTTCTGACCACTGCCTCCTGGTCCAAGTATAGCTTTCGCATTGGCACAATAAAAGAAGACATTTTTGAGGTCTGGTGTTGCTAAAAGTTTGGCACTTTGAATCTTCCAGTTATTCTGCAGGAGAAAAATGGGCAGTTTCCTCCTGTTAAAAAACAAACAAACAAACAAAAAAACAACCAAAAAACCACAAAAACCAAACAAAACACCACAAAGCAACACATAACAAAAAACAGGTTTTTGTTTGTTTTTTTGTTTTAAAAAACAGTTCTTAGAAAAGCTAAAAGGTTGTCTTCTTGCATTGAAGTCTATGAGGGAGAGATCAGTTTAAAAGTGTTATATTTTAGGGCATTATGTTTATCATAAGAGTATGGAATGAGGGTTGTAGAGTGATATTTGGGGTGGGGGTGGGGTTGGGGGTAGGGAGTGTGCGGAGCGGGGATTATGTACCAATGAAGGAGTTTTTCTTTTGCTTTTCAAGTAGAGGAGCAAACGGGGGTGTAGGGGGGGAGAAAAGTGCAACAACGAATGAAGGGAATTCTTAAAAAAAGTCAACTTGGGGAGAGGGGAGGGAGAAAGGGAGTAAAATGTGCAACAATGAATGAATGAAAATCTAACTTTTCTGTAAACTTCTGTTAAAATCATTATTAAAATAAAAAATTTTATATAAA